CTGGTCCTTAGAGTCCAGTCTCCCTTTGTGGCCTTCTCATGCCACTATCCCTCCATCTCTTTGCTTGCCCCAGCACCCCATGGACTATGAGAACATTGACTGGGACCTTTCCCCTTCCCAGCTTTGCAGCCTGTGCTATGATTTAGAGCAAAGACTCTGGAGTCAGCTGAAGTGGGGGGTTACGTTCAGCCACACACTTGCTGTGTGATATCATTTCCTCTAGCCTCTATTCTCTCCTCTGATAGATGAAGATAATATGACATCAACTGAGTTAAACACTGGCTATGTGAAGGGTACACAAGTGCACCCCTGGGCCTGCCCTACAATAAATGATCCAACCATGGCAGCTGGATTTAGCAATAGGTATTAGGTCTCATTAACCATTGTACATCAGCACTTAAGATTTCAAGTTTATATTTTAGTATGTGTTATTGATTTTACAGACAGAAGACCCTTGGTACTGAACTGATGGATATATGGGTCCAGGGAGACCACTGCTGAGACCAGGCATGCAAACAGGCATGGAGCTCAATACTGTTCTGTAGAAGCTTGATTTATTTTCCCCCAAATGCCACCCAATTCCACTTAAAATATGCATCTTGCTAGGTGCTCGTGGCTCACGTCCATAATCTTGTCTACTCCAGAAGCTGAGATCTGAGAATCTTGGTTCAAAGCTAGCCCAGGCAGACAAACCCAAGAGAATCTTATCTCCAATTAACTAGCAAAAAAGCTGGAAGTGGAGGTGTGGCTCAAGTGGTAGAGCACCAGCCTTGAGTGAAAAAGCCAAAAGAGAGCTTGAGGCCCTCACTTCAAACCCCAGAACTAGCACAAAGAAGGAAGGAAGGAAGGAAGGAAAAAGAATGGAACAAATTTCAATGTGACTTTTTGGACTGCGATCTGAATTCAGAACCTGAGTTCTAGCTCCAGCAAAAATAAGTATAAATAAAAGATATGCATTCTTTCAATAAATCTCAGATTTTCACTTTGTCACGTATATTATGTATATTTTATGGCTTGGGAGGATTATCATAAAATTTTTTGTGCCACTCCTAGAGCTTGAACCACATCCCTTAGCTTTTTCTACTCAAGGTTAAGGTTCTACCACTTGAGCTACCTCTGTACTTCAAGGGTTTTGGTGGCTGGGGATAGAGCCTCTTCATGGGACTGTCCTGCCTGGACTGGCTTTGAACTCTGATCCTCAGGTTTCAGCCTTCTGAGTATCTAGGGTTTACAGGTATAAGCTACTGGTGCTTTGCTCTCCTTGGCTTTAGTTTTGGTTCTAGATTCCAGCAACATATTCTGTTTTTTGTTCCAATAAGTATTTCAATAAGATGAGCACAATAAGTTAATTACCATAGCCTTTTACCTTGCTTTTGGGGTGCATTTACTTTTGTGGTGTGTGTGCATGCATGTGTGTGAGGTGTGTGTGTGTGTGTGTGTGTTACTCACACTCTGGCAATTATGGCAGGTGTTCTACCATTGAGCCCTGCCCCAGCCCTACCTTTTGAGAGGCAGATTTTCACAAAATTAAGGAGAGAACTACTCAGCAGATCATACAACGATGCAAACGCAGCTGACAAAGATTTCTCTATAGCAACTGAAACTGTAATTCACGCGCAGGAATTTAAGTGTTTTGTTTTGACATTTCTTTGGATTTTTAAAAATTTATTATTTTTGGTTGCACTGACTCAAAACTGTATGTGATAAACTCATACAAAAAGTTATCGGCATGGTAAACTTCTGCCCTAAGCTTTGCCATCGCCACCCCTGGGGAATCTCCCTTTACCATCCTGGCAAGATTTGGTCAGTGTGCCATGCCAGTTCCCCAGCCTTTCAGCCCTTTCAGTTGGGCAACCTGTGGATGGAACTGCTGCTTTGCCAGACAGGGGCCGTCTCCTGACTCCTTCTGTCCACTCCCCACATACCATGGAGACAGAGAAAACAATCTGCCCTCTTCCTCTAGCATATGTAAGTCCTGCCCATATCCTGACCTGATCTCCCAGGACTGGCCTGGGAGGCAGGTCCAACAGGAAAACATTCTGTTTCTAGATGTGAGGAAATAATATCTGCCTTGGCTAATGTAAACAAAGGCCCAGTGTTGACCAGGCTGACTGCTGTAGGGCAGGGCCTGGCATAAAGTGCCTTCCCCCGAAACAGCTCATCTGGCACTGAGAGCCACCCAGGGGAGCTACTATTTTTATCTTTTCATTTTAAGATGAGGAAGTTGGTGAGCTGGCACTGGCTCACGCTGGTTCGTGAGAGTCAATTGTTAAGGGTTTCATGAATTGTGTGAGCTGCTTGCTAGATACAACCATTGTTCAAAATGAAATTATGTAAACTTATAATTAAATGACATTTAAAAATGGTAATGAATACCCAAGAATGATCTCTTCCTAGTTATTTCCCCATGTTTAGTGATTATCTATGTTCTTAAGGTTAATTGGTTATTTATTTATTTATTTATTTTTGGTCAGTCATGGGGCTTGAACTCTGGTCCGGGGCGCTGTCCCTCAGCTCTTCAGCTCAAGGCACTCTAGAACCACAGCACCACTTCCAGTTTTCTGGTGATTAATTGGAGATAAGAGTCTCATGGACTTTCCGCCCGGCCTGGCTTTGAACCATGATCCTTAGCTCTCAGGCTCCTGAGTAGCTAGGATGACAGACGTGAGCCACCAGCACCCAGCTTTGGTTATTTTATCTTAATGGTAGAAACTCTCTTCCCCACTGTCAGCACCTTCTAGTTGATGATTGGCTGTCATCATGGTGGGTGTGGTTGTGCCAAGGAGATGGGCAATGCCAGCCTCTGCCCCTTTTCCAGAGAGCCTGTTGTTACTCATTTGTCACCATACTACTGAATCTGAGCCATACCGAGGTTTTTACTCGATGAAGGTCATAGAGCTGCGTTTGAACCTAGGCAAGAGGATCTCTGAAGCCCATTGGTACATCTCTATGCTGATTCTTCCTAAGAGCCCAAGTCACATATGCCATTCCTCTCGACACACTTGTGTGAGGATAACAGAGAGATGGTCACATTCCTGCACCCTCATCCCAGGGGTCTGCCTAGCCCTTTCCTGCCCATTTGCCTCCCTCTCTCCTTCCCTTCCTCCAGCTTCTCAGCTTTTTCAGGTAAAGGACTAAGGAAAGGCCAGCACTGGTGGGTCATGCCTGTAATCCTAGTTACTCAGGAGGCTGAGATCTAAGAACCAAGGTGATTCTTTTCTCCCATTAACTAGCAAAAGCTAGAAGCGGTTCAAGTGGTAGAGCGCCAGCCTTGAGTATAAAAGCTAAGGGACAGAGTGAAGTCTTGAGAAAAAGTCCCAGTACCAGCACAAAAACAAAGGAGTAGGAGGGCTGCTGAGCCACACACCTGTGTGGCCTAGCCATTGAAGGCCCGTGATTGGTGGCTTGTCTACTCACCTGGCCTTTGACTGCTTGTGTCAGCTGTGGAACTGTAACTGGAGGAAGGGGCGTGCCCTGCTGTGTGATTGAGGTCTAGCTAGCCTTGCTCTGGCTCTTTAATCACACCTGGGGCCCTAAAACTTTCCCAGCACTGACAGAGGCCTCCTGTGAAGTCCTCTAAAACCTACTGCTCTCTGGTTCTGGAAGAACAAAACCAGGTCATGCCACTCCTTTGCATGGCAACCTTTTACCCCATTCCTCGGCAGCCAGGCCAGTCACAGGGGGCCCCAAGGTCCCACCCCTCACCCCACAACCAGATCACACACAACTTTTCCTTAGTTCCACTGCTTCAACCATGTTGGCTGCCTTGTTGTCCCTCAAATATGCCTGCCTCAGGGCCTCTGCACTTGCTCTTCTTGCCTGATATTCATATCAGAATAATTTGTTTCCTTACTTTCTTCTGGTCTTTGCTGAAATGTCACTCTCTCTGACTCTTTTATGTAAAATTGTAACATCTGTATGCTCTCCCTCTTATGCATGCATGCACGCACACACGATTTTGTATCGCTTCTGGTTCTGCCATTTTTTCCTGCTTAGCACTTATTGCCTCTATATATATGTCACCAACATATGCTATGTTTTCATTTATTTATTTATTTACTGGCGGTCATGGAGCCTGAACTCTGGGCCTGGATACTTCCCTCAGCTCTTCAGCTCAAGGCTAGCGCTCTACCACTTCAGCCACAGCACCACTTCTAACTTTTTCTGCTTATGTGGTGCTGAGGAATCAAACCCAGGGATTCATGCATGCAAGGCAAGCACTCTACCACTGAGCCACCTTCCCAGTCCCATATGCTATGTTTTTATGTTATTTGTTTATGGTCTGTTTCTCCTCACTTGATTGATAGCTCTGAGAATGAAGAAATTTTGTCTGTTTAGTTCAGTGATATATTTCATCATCAGATTTTATCATTGTCATTTGTTGAGTGGATGGATGACAAATGTATGAGTGAATGAATGAACAAATGCATGGCTGAGTGACTGACTGAAGGAGTGAATGAATGAGTGACAGAGTTTAACCATCAGGAAAGCCTCTGTGGCCTCTGTTGTGATTCCACTGCCCTGATTTGCTGAAGTTCCTTGAGGGCAAGAGATTTACCTCAGGGTGCAAAGAGAGCCACGTGACAAAACATAAGGAACAGAGGCTCTGTCATCCAATGGACAAATTATCGCCTTCAGTGCTTACCAGTCACTTGTGCTCTCTGAGTGTGTCTTCATCTCTGAGGGGCATGACGGGTGAGAAGCTACTCAGGATACTACAGTGGGCTCTGCCATTACTCTTGATGTTTGGGGGTTCACCATCAGCAAACAAGCTGAACAGGCACCAAAGGGATGGAATCACTCTCCCCACCACCAACCCTAAGCCAGTTGTGCCCCTCTGTTGGGCACAGCCCACTGAGGCTGCCTTCCCTGGTCTGTATCCTCAGCCCCCACTTCAGGACTGGCTTTCTCTCATGGGTACTTGGATCAAGTCAGTATGGGTGGGTAGGCCTGGCCCAAAGAACCCTGGGCCTCCTTCTAGCTCTCCTCTTTCTGCACAGTGTTCATCTGCAGCTTCATGGTGGCCGCCCCTATCTTTGGCTACCTGGGTGACCGCTTCAACAGGAAGGTGATCCTCAGCTGCGGCATTTTCTTCTGGTCGGCAGTCACCTTCTCTAGCTCCTTCATCCCTCAGCAGGTAAGGCCTGAGTCCCTGCTACCCCACATCCATCCCTGTTCCTTGCCTATCAGATAGGTAGCGGGTCCATGTTCTAGGTGGAAGATTTTGGCTCCATAGCTTGAAACCTAGCAGTGCCTCCCCAGTGCAAGCAGCGGGACCTCTGCCATGTATTGTTAATTCAATCCTGCAGATATAGGGCCTCTCCACACTGACCCTGCTCGAGGCCTCGCAGCCCCAAGTGCCACCCAGGAACCATGTCTCCAGTCCTTTTTGTGCTGGTCATTTTAAGATAGGGTCTTGCTTCCTGCTCCAGCACATACCGGACCATGATCTACCTATATTAGACTTCTGATGATAGCTTGGATGATGAGCATGTGCCAACACACACAGATTCTTCTATTAAGATGAGAATCTCAAAGATTCAGCCGAGGTTAGCCTTGAACTATGATTCTCCCATTCTCAGCCTCCCAAGTCGCCAGGATTATAGGCATGAGCGACTGGTACCTGGCTGAGTTTGCTCTTTGGTAAGCAGCTCATTCTGTGCATGCAAGATTCAGGAAGGCAAGTGTCAGCTCAATATAAAGGTGTTTCACAACTGTTCTTGGGGAACAGGAGAGGGTGGTGGGCAGCGCTGTGCCCTCCTCCCCCACTCCCCTACTGTGTCTCATGTTGAGGAGAGGAAAAGGCATTAAGATACGGACTTGACTGTATCACTTTCTATTTCTGAATAAATGTTTGTTGTTCCGAAAAAAAAAAAAAAAGGTGTTTCACCCTCACTTCTGGCAGTCCTGGACTTAAACATCCCACTTTGTTGGCTGTTCAGCCTTGTGACCTGGGGACATCTACTCCAACTCTCTGAGCCTATCTTTTGTGTGTGTGTGTGTGCGCACACACACACACACGTGTGCATGCCTGCATACCAGTATTGGGGCTTGAACTTAGGGTCTTGCACTCTTGCTTGGCATTTTATATTCAAGGCTGGTGTTCTACTGATGGAGTCATACTTCTACTTCTGGCTTTTTGCTGGTTAATTGGAGATGAGTCTCATGGACTTTTCTTCACAGGCTGATTTGAGAAACGATTCTCAGATCTCAGCCTTCTGAGTAGCTAGGATCACAGGCATGAGCCACCAGCACTTGGCTTTCCTCATCAATGTAAATTGGAATAAGCTGGACACCTGGGGCTCACGCCTATGATCCTAGCTACTCGGGAGGCTGATACCTGAGGATCATTGTTCAAAGCTAGCTATGCCAAAAAAGTCCATGAGTCTCTTCTCCAATTAACCATCAAAAAGCCAGAAGTGAAACTGTGGCTTAAGTGGTAGAAGTCTAGCCTTGAGTGAAAAACTTCAGGAACAGTGTCCTGGCCCTGTGTTCAAGCCTCAGGACTAGCGTGCGTGTGCGTGCACACACACACACACACACACACACACACACACACACACACACGTGCCCTGGCCCTGTGTTCAAGCCCCAGGACTAACACACACACACACACACACACACACACACACACAGAAATGGAAATGGAAATGGGGACAAAGTTCTCAGGCTTGAAGCGCTCCTGTGAGAAGCAGCTGAGCTAGTAAATATTCACATCCCGGATCATGACAAGTGTTCACCAAATCTTCCCTTTCAGTTTTTTCCTTTCAAAGAGGAGCTACATTGCCTTGTGAGGGTAATGAGCTTCCCATTGCTGGGAGTGTTCAAGCAGAGGTGGAAAATCACATGACAGCTATTAGAGAAAGAGATGAAAGAAGGAAGGGAGGCATGAAGAGTGCTGGGAGTGAGGTGAGGATGCTGTGGCCAGAGGAAAGGCAGGGACCAGGTCACAGAGGGCCTCAAGTACTAGATTAGAAGTGAGGATTTCTTTCTGGGTCAGAGCTGAACCCTGGAAGAATTTGAAGAAGGATGGCAGGATCAGATATGCTGATGGAAGGGAAGGCAGAGAGAACTGGCAGTTTCACAGGGAACAGCTTTGCTTCATGGCAGGGGGATGGTGGAGTGTCAGACCCAAGACAGATCCAGGGCCAGTGCCAGGTAGAGCCTCGTGGCCACAGTAAAAGCCTGAGCTAGAAGCTGGTAGGCCACCCTGGGCCTTGTCCTGGCCTTGGCCTTGGCCTGGAAGCTGCTCCGGGGCTGACCATAGATCCAGGCCTGTGATACCAGGCTTTGCCCCTATGAGTTGAGTTGGGGAGCGCAGAGGAGCAGAGACAGAAAGAGAATCAGATCACTCCCAGTTCTTCTGTGAATTCATTGCTATCAGTCTGAGTCCCATAGGGATTGTTGGTGGACCTTGGCAATGGGATTCTGAAGTTAATTTGGCAGAGAAAAAGCTCAGGAACAGCCAAGAACAATGTGAAAAACAATGAAGGGGGAAGGCTTTCCTATCAGTTATCAAAATAACTGCTATTCTTTCTCTCTCCTCACGCTTTTATTAGCATACATTAGTTGTACAAGGGGATTTCATTGTGATGTTTCTACGTAGACATATAATGTGCCTCATCAACCTAGCCCCCTTCATCTCTTCATCTTCTTCCCAAGAAGATGATTTCAACAGGTTTTATTTCTGTTTTCATGTAGCAGATCAAGTACTTGGACTATATTCATTCTCATGCACACTTTCCATTGCCTTCCCCTCAAAACAACAGCTGTTGTAATGAATGCTGCCAAGGGCTAGACTAACAGATATATGCAGTTGAGTCCTGGTGTCTACTGGGAACTATGGAGGGTGAAAGTTGCACCTAAAACAGTGCTTCAGAGAGAACACGAATCACTCATCTGGCTAGAGAATAAGTTTGGGCTGGGTGCTGGTGGCTTATATGTATAATCCCAGTTATTTAAGTGGGCTAAAAACTGAAGATTGAGCTGGGCACCGGTGGTTCATACCTGTAATCCTAGCTACTCAGGAGGCTGAGATCTGAGGATTGTGGTTCAAAGCCAGCCTGGGTAGGAAAGTCCATGACACTCTTATCTCCAATTAACCACCAGAAAACTGAAAGTGGCATGCTATGGCTCAAGTGGTAGAGCACTCATCTTGAGCTGAAGTGCTCAGGGACAGTACCCAGACCCAGAGTTTAAGCCCATGACAAAAAAAAAAAAGATTGAGGTTCAAAGCCAGACAAAGCAGAAAAGTCTGTGAGACTCAGCTCCAGTTAACCAGCAAAAAGCCAGAAGTAGATGTGTGGCTTGAGTGGTAGAATGCCAGCCCTGAGCATAAAAGCCAAGTGAGTAGTAGTTCAAGGCCGTAAGACCTGCACATAACACAACAACAACTACAAAGAAAATAAGTTTGGTCTGTATTCTCTGCAGAATGAACTCCAGAGAAAGGGGAAAGGAAAGGGAAAGCAAGCTCTGGAAATCCAGAGCTATAAATCAACAAGAAAAAGACAAATAAGCTGGTGGGGAAAAAATGAGTCAAGGATAGTTACAGGCTATTGCAGAAGATACCCAAATGGCCAATAAATGTAGGAAGTGATGGCTCAGCCTCTCTAGTAATCAGGGAAATGCAAATTAAAACAACAATGAGATACCATTTCACACCCATCAGATTGGCAACAATTAAAAAGGCCGACAATACAAGTGTTAGTACAGCTGTGGAGAATCCCTGACTGGGCTGCTGTGGGGAGTGTAAATTACTAGACTCCTCTGGAGAGCAGAATGGCAAGAAACTGTAAAATTCTCATTGTGTCCCGCATGGCCTAGCCTTCCACTTGCAGGAATACAGCCAAGAGAGAAACTCCAGCTTGTGGTTGCCTGTGGACAAGGATGCTCACTGCAAGACAGTGCTAGGAAAAAGAGGGACAATCAAATGACTGCCACAGGGCCCATGCAGAGAAATGGAGTGTTGTTCATACTGAGAGATGCTGGATAGCAGAAGAATGATGAGAGCTGCACTACCTAGCACTCGTGAATGAGTCTCATAAGAAGGAGGAAAAAGCAAGGATAAGAGCATGAGTTGGTCCCTCTTCTGTTCATTTGATCCAAGCACACAGAAGACATTAAACAAGTCAGGTGCCAGTAGTGGCTTATGCCTATAATCCTAACTACTCAGGAGGCTGAAATCTGAGGATTGCAGCTCAAGCCAACATGAGCAGGAAAGCCCAAGAGAGTCTTATCTCCACTCAACCCCCAAAACTCAGAAGTAGAGGTGTGTGGCTCAAGTAGTATACTGTCAGCCTTGAGTGAAAAGGCTAAGGGACAGCACCTAGGCCCTGAGTTCAAGGCCGAGTGCCAGCACCTACACACCAAAGACACTAAGCATTATCTAAGCAGAGATGGTGCTGTGTTAAGTCTACAGTAGACTGGAGGGGGTGGGGCGCTATGGGAGGAGTGGGAACAGAGAAGACCTTCTGCCTGCTGGTGCTGAGAATGATTGCTGCATCTCTACTATTCTTTCTAAAAAAATAATAGAATACTCCAGGAATGGAGTAGGCCTTCTTGAACAAGATATTAGGGGGAAATGAACAGTTATGTTTTCTTGAGTCTCCCTTAGCTTTTTCATTCATATCTAGCAATTTACCTTTTCCAGATTTTTGCTGGAAGTTAATTGAGTACAAGACTCTCCTGCCACCCTCTCCCCCACCCCCCCACACACAGTGGCTTTGAACTGGGATCCTCAGATCTCAACCGCCTGAGTAGCTAGGACTACAGGTGTGAGCACTCATCACACCTGGCTCAAAATGAACAGATTTGACAGCGTCAAATTCAAACCATCAGGAAGCTTGTGAATGGTAAAAGCCTCCATAAACAAAGTAGAAAAATGACAGAAAATACCAGTGCTTCAGATAACAAAGGCTCCACCGCTGAACTATAGAGAAAGCTAATATAATCCAATACAAAAAAAGACAACCGAACAGAACAATAGGCAGTGGCTGTAGGCAGAAGATTCCCCAGGAAAAGAAACACTTCAGGAGCCAGGGAGGGCAAGGGGGGTCAAGATGGAAGGCCAGCACTGCCACCAAAGTGACAGCTAGGAGCTAGATGGGCAACTAGAGAGAGTGCATGGGGACACCCTGGGGAGGACTAGATGTGGGTGATGCTTGGCCGGATGGGTGGTCAGGGTGGGGCGGGGAATGATGGCCAGGCTGTGTTCTCAGGCCCTGGGCAGCTGGAGGGCCTGATGGGGCAGGTCCACATCAAAGGGGAGGACCACCAACAGCTGGCAGAGTTCCACACCTCCCTGCTGCTCAGCTGGCTTTGTCCTTGCTGTGCCCATGGGGGACAGACTCTGAGCCACAGGGCCATCCTGCCCACTTCCCACCCTGGGCTGCCAGGCTTACCCAGCCACCCTACTTGAAGGAGGGACACAGAATGTGTATGCCTTGTAGCTCTTGAGGTAGGGCTGGGAGCAGGTAGACTTGGCTCTGTGGACTTCCATCTCTGTGCTATGGGGATTGAGAGGATGGTTTGGCTCATACTGCTGGGGAATTCCAGCCCTGTCAGACCCACCCTACAGAGGGAGACTCTGAAGCCCCGCATGACCAGGCTCTGTGGACATGCCGAGGTCAGGCCTGAGCTCCATCTGGACTCCATAGGGACAAAATGGGGACAAGAGTGAGCAAGCTGGAGGGTAGGGAGGCGCCTTAGCATTGTCCCCTGGCCCCACAGTACTTCTGGCTGCTGGTCCTGTCCCGGGGGCTGGTGGGCATCGGTGAGGCCAGCTATTCCACCATCGCACCCACGATCATCGGCGACCTCTTCACCAAGAACACACGCACACTGATGCTGTCTGTCTTCTACTTTGCCATCCCGCTGGGCAGGTGAGTGGGAATTCATTAATCAGACACACAGGGCAGGGGGCAGGGACGGAGATCAGCCTTGGAGAACTCCCAGACCACTCTGGCTGGGGCAGGGGCGGGGGGAATGAGGGTGGGGAAGGGGGCAGGTGGCCTGCCTAGTCCATGGGCACTTCCCCTCCCACACCTTCTCTGCTCTGCTTGAGCTGATGTGTGTCCATCTTCTCTGCAGTGGCCTGGGGTATATTACAGGCTCCAGTGTGAAGCAGGCAGCTGGAGACTGGCACTGGGCTCTGCGGGTAAGGCCTAGGTCCCCTCCTATAAGGTCCCCCAGTCCAATCCTTTCCCCAGGCTTTCCCAGAGGGTCTCACCCAGCCCAAACCCAGCTGGGGATCAGGCCTTGACCTCCCTTGACAGCCTGGGCTCTGAGGCCTTGTCCTTCTAGACCAGTTTAAACTGAGATGTTGCGGCTCAGACAGCCCCACACCCTTGGGCCACAGTTCCAGGGCTGGAACCTCCCCCAGGAATCCCAGGTTGAGAGGACGGGATTCTCTCACTATGTCAGGAAATTCCAGGGCCACAGCGCAGCTTCCTGCTTCCAGCCTTGGCTCTGTGTAAGCCGTGGGCTGGGACCAGGCCTCTGTGTTGAGGCCCTTGGGGTCTGGAGCCACTTCCTGACCTGCCAGAGAGTTGGGGCAAGTTAGCACAGCTCTAGGACAGTGCAATCAGAGGAAACAGAGATCCCCAGTCTCTCTGAGGAGCGGAAGCTTAAGACAAAGTGTTTTTTCCTCAAAAGCAGGAAGGAAGCACCTCTGTGGAATTTCTTGGTGGGGGGCTAGAGGGAATGGCATGCAAGGAACTCCCCAGGCTTGGAGTCCCTGGGTGGGGGGGGGACAGGCAGTGTAGCAGGGAGAGGGTAGATTCTCTTTCTTATGGGCTAGTATGCTGGAATCCAGCCTGCCAAGACTGGAAAGAGGCCTGACTCCTTGGAGAGTCTGTTATTGTCATGAGGCCAGACTCAGAGAAGATCCAAAGAGGCCCTTACCAAGGGCTGGCCTTCCTGACCTATCAGGTACCAGTTCCAGGACCCTATAGGCAAGAAACCCACCAGGGAACATTTCTAGTCCCAAGGGTTGGACTGACTCCTTATGTCTAGAAAGTCACAGTCATGGCTTTGTTCCCTGCCTTTCATCTATCTATCTTGCTCTACCATCTATCATCCATCTTCCATCCACCTACCCACCCACCCACCCACCCATCCACCCACCCATATAACCACACATCTATCAGTTTTCCTTCCACCCATCTGTCTGTCCTTCCAGTTATTCTCCACTATCTGTTCAGCCCTCTCTTCTCCCTCTTCCATCCACCCACCCATTCATCCTTCTCTTCCTTCCCTCCTCCTTCCTTCCCTCCCTTCTTTCAGTTTGTCAGTCTCCTTTGTACCCCCTTCCCCTATCTGGAAAGTCCACTTTGAATCTCCAACCCTTTACTGAACTCATCCCAGTGGCTTTGCTCAGTAGCCCTGTCAAGAAGGCAGATTTTATCCCCAAGGAAGGTTCCCAGACCCCAGAGAAGGCGCAGCCTGCCTGAGCGCCTCCTGGTGCAGCCGAGACAGAGCCAATTTGGTGTGTCCTGTCTTCATGTTTCCCTCCCTGCCAGGTGTCTCCTGTCCTGGGCATGATCACAGGAACGCTCATCCTCATCCTGGTCCCAGTCACTAAGAGAGGCCACGCAGACCAGCTTGGAGGGCAGCTCAAGGCACGGACCTCATGGCTCCGAGACATGAAGGCTTTGATCAGAAAGTAAGCCTTGGTGGGAGGAGTCTGGTGCTGTGATGAGAGGGTTCTGCCTTCAGGAGAGCCCACCTGTACCTTCCCTTGAACCCACTGCCCTCTCGGCTGCCTGCAGGGTTGAGAGTGATGTTTTGTCCATTAGTGTTTATGACACCTGTGGTCTGAACCTTTACACTGAGCCTGTGAGGGAGCCATTTCAGGTCTTCTGTAAGGAGAAAGGGTGAGACAGCAGTCTGGGGAAAAAGGGGCTCTCCTAGGGACCACCTACTGACATCAAAGGGGTCCTGCCTAAGCCAGGTGCCCGTGGCCCACCCTTGTATTCCTAGCTATTCAGGAGGTTTAGATCTGAGGATTCTAGTTCAAAGCCAACCCAGGCAGAAAAGTCTTTGAGACTCTTTTATCTCCAATTAACCAGTAAAACTCTGGAAGTGGAAGGGGTGGCGTTGCCCAAGATGTGTTGTACTCTAACTTATGGAATTGTAGCCTGTTTGTACAACTACTTAGCAATAACAAGAACACCACCAATAATGAAGTCCAGAAGTAGAGTTGGGCTAAATGGTAGAGGGCCAGTGTTGAGTGATAAAGCTAAGAGTCCCAGGTCCAGAGTTCAAGCCCCAGTACTGGCACCAACAGCAAAAAAAAGTTTAAAAAGAGGTCCTGCACTAGCTCAGTGTCCTGCCCTGGCTTCTTCTCAGTCGCAGCTATGTCTTCTCCTCCCTGGCCACATCAGCCGTGTCCTTCGCCACAGGAGCCCTGGGCATGTGGATCCCACTCTACCTGCACCGTGCCCAAGTTGTGCAGAAGACAGCAGAGATGTGCAACAGCCCACCCTGTGGGGCCAAGGACAGGTGCAGCCTGGAGAGCTGGGCCCCGGGGTAGCATAGGACACGGCATGGGAGTACCTCTGACTTCGCCGTGGCCCTCCCCTACTCATGCCCTGCTGTTCTCTGACCCCACAGCCTCATCTTTGGGGCCATCACCTGCTTTACTGGCTTCCTGGGTGTGGTCACGGGTGCAGGGGCCACACGCTGGTGCCGCCTGAGGACCCAGAGGGCCGACCCGCTGGTGTGTGCTGTGGGCATGCTGGGCTCCTCCATCTTCATCTGCCTCATCTTTGTGGCTGCCAAGAGCAGCATTGTGGGCGCCTATGTGAGTAGTGTGGGGGGCGGGCAGTAGGGGGCTTGAGGGGAGCTGGGCTGGAAATACAGTCTGACTTGCTGGACCTCTAGCTGCTGCCCCTGCCCCAATCAGGGCCTGTGAAGGGTCAGCACAGGAGTCACAGCCAGCCCTACCACTCCAAGGAGGGGCTTGGGTCACCCTTCAGGGCTATAAGCACGGCTTGAAGTCTCTGAATAATGCACTGGTTCCTCATGTGCCTGAGATGAGAAGATGGGCCTTCTGGAGAGGTGGAGGAGGTTTTGGGGGCTCCCTGCCTGATGGTCTCTCTTCTTTTCTCCTGGTAGATCTGTATCTTCATTGGGGAGACCCTGCTGTTTTCCAATTGGGCCATCACGGCAGACATCCTCATGGTAAGCCAGGCTGCAGTAGACTCCTGTAGACCCAAGCCTATTGTCCTCATAGGCCAGCTGGGGAGGGGTAAAGGGAGGGCTTTGGGGGGAGGGTGGCCAGGGAGGTGAACCCAGAGGTAGGGAGAGGGGGTCAGAGATTCAAGGCCTTCAATCAGAGCGGGTATGGAAGCTGAACTGAGCGGGCAAATGGGTGAGTTGTAGGGGTGGGGTTTCCCTGAGGCTCAGGTTTGTGTCTGGGAGGCTGGTGGTGCCAGGCTGGCACTGAGGTGGCCCTGCTTGCCAGCACTCCTCCCCTGGGGGCTGAGTGGCCATGCGTTCTGTGCTCAGCCTGGGTCCTAGGAATGCCTACTGAATGCCTGCCACCGGGCTGGGCACACAGAGGCCGTCTTCACAGGACCAACAATGGGCTGTAGACTAGGCTAGCCAGAGACAAAGGGCCGTCTGAGCAGTCAGCAGGGGCTGTGTCCCTGAGCAGGGATGATAGCAGCCTAGAAGAAACCAGGGGGGACTGTGGGCCTAGTGACTTACAAGGCTGTGGGGTTTGGGAGGGCATGTAGGGGTAGGAATGGTAGGGCTGGGTGTGGCTCCTGTTCTGATTCTTCAGGACCCTCAGCTTTAGGAGAATCTGGCATTGGAGCATGTCAGGAGGTGCAGGGATTGGGGAGGAAGGATGCTCAGGGTGCTGGGTAGAGGGAGGTGTTGGATATAGAACATATAGAAATAGCCCAGGTGGTCAGAATCTGTGAAAGCCCTAGTTGCCTCTCTGCTTCAGGAGGCTGCCTTACCTTGCCTGGCCTTTCCTATATCTGTTTTCTCCTGATCTGGGATGGTAGATTGGATGGAGTTGTGGGGGGGGGGTGGAGGGAGAGGGTGACTCTGGGGCTTGGTGAGGTCAACCCTTCTCTGAATCAAGGGGAGCACTCTGAGTCAAGGGCCCTGGATGCTGGCCAGCCCCTGATGGCTGCTGAAAGCGTATAGTCCAGGGAAATCGTGTCCCAGTTTATGAAGTGTAAAAGCTAAGTGACTAGTTATTGCTGGAAACGGGGCCACATAATCTCATCTGATCCAGATCACTCCATCCCTGCTCCCTGTGTGGGGTCTTGTGGGCTCTGGCTGCTGTTGCCATTTGTCTACCATGGCTGGCATCTATGAGGTTGCTGGAGCCAGGTGCACCTTGGGGCTGTGACTAACTCTTCTTGTCTGACTAAGAATTGGGGAAGGAAGGTCACGGCCAGCCTAGTCTGATGGGGCTCTGGGGTCCAGCAGTTCTTGGCATGTGGGGCTAGAGTGCTCACAGGTTCAGGTAGAGGCTCCTTTAGGGCTTTGTTTCAAAACCCTGTCCTCTAGGCCAGCCTTGGCCTTGCCTGGTCCTCATGGAGGGGAGCCCAAGACAGGTATTTAATTTGTGAGAAGGAAGGGCAAGGGCTGATAGACCTGAGAGGCAGCTCCAGAGCTACTGATCTCATGGATGACCCCTCAAAAATAAAGTCTTCCCAGGAGGATCTCAAGTTCAAGGCCAGCCTAGGCTATGCAGCATGACTCTGAAGAAAAAAAAAAGAGGGAAGTTAGGAAGAGTGGAAAAGATGGAAAAGAAATAATGCTTCTCTGGGCCTCAGTGTCCCCTGGATCCCAGGCCTTGGCTCCCCACCAGAAGTCAGTGGGAGAGGTCTCAGGGAGAGAACAGCGCTGACAGAACAGCTCTGGGTTGAAGGCCTGTACAGATGGAACCAGTGGACACCAGGTTGTCTTCCCTGGGACTGGATGTGGTGGAGAGGAGTGTGGGTACTGTGAGGCTCTGGGTGGGCCTGGGACCTTGCACTGACCTGTCTCCTCCTACAGTACGTGGTCATCCCCACACGACGGGCCACCGCGGTGGCCTTACAGAGCTTCACCTCCCACTTGCTGGGGGATGCTGGAAGCCCCTACCTCATCGGCTTTGTGAGTGGCTGCAGTGGGACTGGCCTGGTGGGAGCGCTGGGGGCTTAGGAGATGACATTGCCCTGATGCCTACCAACCTCATCTCCACAGATCTCAGACCTGATCCGCCAGAGCACCAAGGACTCTCCACTCTGGGAGTTCCTGAGCCTAGGCTATGCCCTCATGCTCTGCCCCTTCGTGGTGGTCCTGGGCGGCATGTTCTTCCTCGCCACCGCCCTCTTCTTCCTCAGTGACCGTGCCAAGGCTGAGCAGCAGTGAGTGGGGCAGGGTGGGCCTACCACCTTGACACCCTGTCAAGCCCTGCGGTGAGGGTGGGGGACACTAGCCAACTCTATGCCCATGCACGCATGTGAGCAGACATATATCACCTATGCCGGTGCCTAGGCCTTCCCCAGGTCGCAGCATGTGTCACATGCCCAGCCCGTGGTGGCTCGGGCTGGCAGATGCCAGGCCCATTCGTAGGGTTTTAGATGAATGTTTTCCTCTAGAGTTAAGGGTTTTCAGGATTGGGACCACCCCTTCCTTTTCTTCTCATTCTCTGACTTCTCTTCTTTACTCTTCTTTCTCTCTCTCCCTCCCCACCCCTGGGCTCTCCCACCTCCCCCTGGGGCTGACGAGGTCCCTGCCCAGCATCTCCGGTCAGTCAGCCCCCGCGATGCAATGTGCCAGAGCCGTGCCTGGGCCCGGCCTCCGCTGATGCACCGCCCTGACCCCTGCCCGTCTCTCCCCCAGGGTGAACCAGCTGGTGATGCCTCCTGCATCAGTGAAAGTCTGAGGTGGTGAGTTCAGGCTGGGGAGGCCCAAATGGTGGGAGGGCCAGGACGCCAGGAGCCAGGGATCACCCCTCCGGAGTTCTGCCAACTCTGGGCTTGGTTTCTTCCTCCTAAAACATTGCAGAACTTACTGACCTAGCTATGCTGGGAAAGCCTGCTGCTTCCCAATAAACTGGCTCTCCCCCTTCCTTGGAAGGTTTGGGGTCATGTCAGGGATAGTACTTGCCAGGAACTCCTTGAGCTGTCCTCTCCACCCCTCTTAGAGGTGTCAGGGCTCATTCCTACTGTGGCCTCTGGGAAACAGACTCCTTGTAGTGCAAGATCAAGGTCACTGCCCCCAGAGCCAGGTCTGGAGCAAGGAAGAGCAGGAGGGACCTTGGAATGGCCCCCAAAGCTCCTCTGACTTGACTTTCCTCTTCTAGGTGCCGCTGGGACAGTGATGAAGCCTCACCCGTGTTTGTACCTAGACTGGAAAGTGGCCTTGGGCACTTTGGACCTACAGGGCTGTCCCAAAGCTTTCTGTGTGACACACAGCTGGGCACCCCCCCACCCTGGCCCAGAACTGCTAAGAGGCCGTGGCTCCAAGAAGCTACGCCTCCAGTTAACATGGAAAGCTGTGTGTGCTGGAGTCATACAGTTGGACAGATTCTCAGTCCTAACTTGGGGCTGCAGAGTCCCTGGGGCCAAGGGAGAAGACAGTTCCATATGGGTATGTGGGGAGAACCTGGCCTGCCATCAGCTTCGGTAATCCTGGCTAACCCGCTGACCTCCCTAGGCTGTGGGGTCCGGGGTCCGGACCTCCCTATACTGCACGCTGTACAGGGCACTGCCTGTGGCTTTGAGGACCTGGCAGATCCTGGGACACAGAGAAGAGATGGTCTAGGTCTCAGGGCCACAGGTCAGGTGCTGAGGCATCCAAAGGGCCTGGCCCATAGGGACTGCTGACCTTGAGGACATCACTCAGCCTGGCAAATGGAGCAGGACTCAATTCCTGTGGAAGTATCTGACATGGGGTGTGTCCTGGCTTGGCTGGCCCCTGGAGGACACGTGTCGCTGCAACCTGGGGCTGTGGGCCACTGCCAGGTCCTGTGTGGGGACCAGCATCACCCACAGTTCAGGTGCGAGGTGTGGGAGTTACCCACCAACTCCTACAGGTTCCTTCTGGTCCCTACACCTTTACTGACGTTCCTAGTGAACCCAGGAGACAAGCCACGCCCTCTTCCAGGCTGGCCTGCATTTTGGGAAGGGCCAGGGACTTACTTGTTCCTGGGCCTGAGTGAGACAGGAGTCTAAAGGAGGTCCAGCCTTGCTGACTCCTCCAGCTGACCCATGGGGTCAGGTCTTCACTTCTGCAACCTCTCCCCAATCCCTACTTCAGGGCAGCTTCCACCTGCCCCCTGGGAGCACTTATCCCTTCTCCATAGTCCCTAAGCATTTGCTGCAAGGTGGCTCCAGCCCCGGGGTGCTGTGGCCCACAGGAGACCCTTATGCTTCCTTTGCCTGCCCATTAGTTACTGGCTGGCTGTGGCTTCAGTGTGTTAGCTAGTGGACTACCTACCCCACCAAGGTCTGGGGCACCCTGGGGGCCAGATACGGGAGTGGGGTGGAATCCCTCAAAGACCAGCTGGGCCCCCACCTCACCCCAGCCTCCACTGGGGCCCCAGCAATGTTTTCTTGTTGTACAAGAACCAGGTCCAAGTGTTGCCTCCTCTTCCTTCCGGAAGCCAAACCGCTCCTTTATTTTTTAGAGCTGCTGATTGTGAATCTCAGAGTCTTAAGAGAGAAGCCAAATATATTCCTTGTAAATGAAGAAATAAACCTATTTAAATCAGTCTAACAGCCTGGTGATGAGCAGGATAGTTATATAGGGCCAGCATGGCAATCTGTGCTCACCTGCCCAATGCCAGAGGCTGGATTCCTACCAGCCTGGAACGCCAGGGCAGGCTGGGCAATAGACCCACTGCTCAGAGCCAGAAGCTGGTGCCTTATGCTGCGGTTTATTAAAAATCATAGTGGAAAAAAAATAGAGGAGTCTGTAGGACCACTGGAGGCGTGGGGAGGGCAGGCTGCACTCAGGGTGTCCCCTTCTTCTGCAGCACTTTCCTTTTTTTCATCCCACTCTGAAACAGGCTGGGGCTCCTGCCAACCAAAGACAGGCGTGCCTTTTTCCGTGGCACAGAGGACTGTGGGGTTGGGCTCAAGACCCCCTTTTTGGGCAGAGCCTTCTGATACTGCTTTTTGCTTGCGGGCTCTGTGGGGGATATGGGAGAGGCTTCATTCTCCTGTGACACCTTCTCTTTTTGCTTCTGCAGCTTTGGGGTCTTGGCAGGGGTGTTGACAGGGGTGCTGGGGCTCAGGGTGGGGGTGTCAAGGGCTGGACTCTTGGTGGCAGGTGTCCCTGGGGATGAGACCAAATCCTTGGCCTTCATCTTCTTCCTCCTCCTCTTCTTGCCAGTGCTGGGAGGCTGGTCCCCAGCTGTGGCTGGAGGTGGGGTCACCACTTCCTCGGCTGAAGTGTCCTCTGCCTTGCGTTTCTTACGTTTCTTGGTCTCAGGCAAGAATCCCTTCTTCTTGCGCTTCATACTTACGGGGCTCTCGGTTTCATTGGGCTTGGCTTCCTTCTCCGATTTGGGGCGCCTGGAAGTCAAAGGTCAAAGTGGCCAGTGAGAAAGGGCAGGAGTCACTTCCACCAGAGGTCCTGCAAGATTCCAGGCCCCCACCCCTGTGCATGCACACTGGAGTGTGTGTGGTACGTATGCGGGGTCTCCACAGCCCCTCCCTGTGTGCAGGCATCTCCTAGAACATACTGAACGCCTAGAATCTTCATGGCCTGCCAATAGAGGTCGTAGAGGCGGTTGGAACCGGCAGAATGGTTCCCCTGTTTCAAGCTCTGCTTCAGGGTCTGCTGTTTCCCCTGCAGTGTGCCCAGGAGAGCTGTCAGGTCCACAGTCAGCTTCTGTAGAGGAGGACAAGGCAGGAGCTCAGGGATGACGGCAGACTGCACCCTCTGGGACCCCAGTCTTCCCACCCTTGCCCAGATGCTGCGTCTCCCGTGGCCCTCAGACACTCCTGCCTCTAAATCCCAGTCTCTCTTTTCTGGAGAAGAAACAAAAGCCTCCTAGTGTTTGTTTCCTTCCCATAGTGGAGACCTGGTCTGCTTCCTCCCCTTCCCTCCTTCAGTGGCTCTACAGATCCATCCGTTGAGGGCACAACTCAGTTCCTTTGGGGTTACCAAACTCACCCCCTTAATTTTTCCCTCCCTGTCAAGTACTCACTGGATTCGTTCTAAAACTTGCCAGTAATTGGGTGTTAGTGGCTCATGCCTATTATCCTGGCTGCCCAAAAGGCTGAGATCTGATTGTGGTTCAAAACCAGCCCAGGCAGGAAACCTCACACCAGTGGCAGGGCAAATGTAACCCTCCTAAGTCACTTACCATGTACATGGTGGCTCCATCACTGAACTGTAAACAGTCTGGATTCCTCACCTGGCACACACAACCTCCCCTGCATAGCTCCCAGCTGATCTCCCTCTAGCCATGGAAGCCCCAATTCTCCCCCAGAAGTCTCTGAGTAAAACCCAACGTGACACCCCAGCCACCCAAGGCAGTGGTGGCATGGCTGCTGTCTCACCTCGTGATTGATTGTCCTTAAGAGGGTGTTGAGCAGCTCCAGGGAGGACAGTTCCTTCTGGTGCTCCGACTTACTCTGCGCCTCCCCCAGCGTGCGAAGGGCCTAGGAAGAAGAGGCCAGGCTGAAGCACTCTGGAGAGCTGCCCAAGGCCTTTCTGTTCTCCACAGAAGAGACTAAAGCCCAGAGGGCCCATGCTAGAGGCTCAGGTTCCAAGCACTCTGGCTCCTGGTTCCCAGAGCATCATGTGTACTTGGCAGGAGGGAGTTCCATAATCTTTACCTCAATGACCTTTGCCAGGACCTTGCCAATCAGCTGCTCCCACTCAGGGTCCTCAAAGCATATTCTCAGCTCCCGTGCGGACAGGGACTTCTGTAGTAGCAGGCAGGCCTGGGACTGCAATGAGAAAAGAGATCACCAAAAGGCTCAGGCACCCACCAGCACTCAAGAAGCTGCCTGACACCCAGAGCTCTAGGGGGCACGTGAGGAGCTCTCTGCTGTGTTTGTATAATTGGGAGACAAGCAGGGATCCCAAATGCCTCCCTCCAACCTGCCTGGTCCTGGCACCTGAGCAGACATAGTCAGAGATGAGCTCTCAAGAATCGCTAACTAAATTGGGTAGACAGCTCAGGCCAGATAAAAGCTGGTGGCTGTGGAGCCCAGCTGGCCCTGCCCCTCTTAGCTTCTCTGTGCCCACACAGACCACCCTAGCAGACGAGGGCTCTTACCTGATGGCGGGGGCGTGCCGAGCTGCCCACCTGCTGGACCAGGAGAGGAAGCAGGTTCTTACAGATCATCTAGAGGGGAACGGCAGAAATCATGAGGGGAGGGCCGGGGCAGGCAGGGCCCCCCAGGGAGGCAGGCTGGCCTGGCACTCACCGGATGCCGAGAGAAGAGAGTGAGGAACATGGGAACGGTGAAGGGGCTGTTGCGCTTGGTCAGGAAGGTGCTCAGTGCTGCTGAGTACACAGATGTCACGAAGTTCAAGTCCAAGCAGTTGGTGGCCTGGGCCAGGTGAGAGAGCTTGGGTGAGGCAGTGAGCAGGGCCTAAGTTGCTTTTCCATAGTCCTCCAGGCCATATCCTACTCACCTGTGGTTCCTTGGGCTGAGAGCTGGGCCGTTTCTGTTCCTCTGGGAAGTGCCTCTGCCTAGTGTTGCCCTTCAAGACCCTCAGCAGGTAGAGTGACGCATTGAAGTAGTAGAGGGCAACAGAAGAGTCGGCCTGGTGGCCAGCCTGCTGCACAAGCCGCTCTACCTGGGCATGCAGGGCCTCTGTGCAGTTGTCCACCTCATGGCAGTAGTGCCGGGCGCGGCACAGGTGGTGCCTATAGGGCGCGAGAGGCAGAGCTGGTCAGCACATTCTCCCACCATGGCTCACAGCTATGATCCCAGCTACTCAGGAAAACCTGAGATCTGAGCATTATGGTTTGAAGCAAACTCGGGCAGAAAAACCATGTGAGTCTCTCATCTTCAATGAACCACCAGCAAGCTAGAAGTGGAGCTATGGCTCAGTGATAAAGCACTAGCCTTGAGTGAAAAACTCTGGGCCAGGCCATGAGTTCAAGCCCCCAAACCCACATCAAATGACCCAAGGCTCATTTCAGAGGAAACAGACCCCCTGAACTGGCCTGAATGTCCTGTCTACACCTGTTACTTGTGGGACAATGGCTTCTGAAATCTCTATGAAATGAAACCAGGCTCTATGTTCAAAACCATAGGGAAACAGAGTGGCAGAACTAACCAAGCAGATGTGATCTGGACCTGGAAGAAACTTATGGAGCAGATGCCCCACCCTCTCTCCGCTCTGGATTAGGGGAAGCAGGCTCCTAGGCCTTCCCACCTCTTATGTTCTGGAAGGCAGGTGTTCATCTGGGTGCTGCCAAGATCCTGCCTCTAGCACGATCGCTTCCAAAACTTCACCAAGCCCCTCCTAACCCAACTCTCCCCTCACTGCTCACCTGATGCTCTGGCTGCAGCTGCCCATATCCAACTCCTTTCTAATCTCCCACTCACTCTGTAATATCTTACAATACAGCTGCTCCCTCTCAGGACTGCGTGGATCCCCCACCCGTCCTTCCCCACAGCTCCAACAGGACTGTCCCTGGTCCGGTTTCTCAATTATCCTGACACTGAGAGCAGGGAAGGATGGAACTGAGGACTATGAGAGAACTGTGGTGCATTCCACAGAGCAGAGCATCATGTGAGAGTAAACGGCCTGGGGTGCATCAGGCTCTTCCCTGCCCCAGTTCTCACATGAAGATGCGGGCCATCTTGTGTAAGAGGTCCTGCTCCTGCTTGGTGGAGCTGCGACTGCGCATGCATCGCCGGATGCTGCTTAGCAGGGGTTCCAGCAATTCCAAGACCAGGGGGCTCTCAGGCTGCTTGGTGACCAGCACTTCTATCAGGTCCAGTACCTGTGGCCAGGAGGATGGGAGAGTCAGCCTGTGTGGGAGCATGTGCAGGGGGTGCAAAGGCGCCACTGCTCACAAGCTCACCCGGATCTGGAAGTCCCGCCGGAGCGCTTTTTCCTTTTGCAGCTTGTTCTTCTCATCTCGCCGGGCCTGCATGCGCATCTTTTGTTCAGCAAAGAGACTGGCAAGGTTCTGGTCCAGGGCCATCATGGCTTCATCTCCCAGTTCTTCCTCATCACTGTCCTCTCCGCCCTGAGGGACAGAGTTTATCAGCCTGGCCACAGGAGGGTACACAGACAAGGACAGACAGACAGACACAGACCCCTCCACTGGCTCCGGCTTACCAGCGCCTTTCCAGCCTGCAGCACCTCCATCAGCTGCTGGCGGAAGCCTGGGTCCACATCCTCATCTCGTTCTTCCTCATCACTCTCCTCATCTTGGCCGTTATCCCCGTCGCTCTCTGAATTTTCATCTTCACTATCCGAGCCCTCATCCTGGGTGGGGGGGAGTAAGTGCCACAGCTCTCCACTGTCACCTTGTGCTTGTCCACCAATGACCCCCCTGCCCCCTCCACTGGCCAGTACCTCTGCCTCCTTCAGCTTTTCCTCAGAATCATCAGTGACCACCACGTTGTCCTCCTCATCCTCATTTGCTTCAGGGTTCAGCACCTGTGGAGAATTCCAAGCCCCCACAACCCTCCTCAGCTCACTGGGCTCCTGCCTGCCACCTCTACCCTGGCTAATGGCCTCCATCTAAGGGAGGAGAATGGAGTACATCTATCTTCTTGACAGAAAACTGGGAGCAGGCGGCCTGGTCATAGCTTGAGGGTCCCCCACCCAAGGGCCCATTTCTCCAGCGGCCCTGACTCACATCCAAAATGAGTCGCAGGGCACGTGAGGTCAGGTGGGAACAGATGTGGCTGAACACATTCCGGGCCACCTGGCGCATCAGATGGCTGGGCTGGGCCAGCAGGGATAGCAGGATCTCTACCATCACTTCCACCCATGGAGGCTCCTGGGTGTCTGCAAGTAGAGAGAGGGCTGAACTCATAGAAGCAAGGTACTGATGAACTGGCAGCTCAGCCAGCCCAGTTCTGTATCCCCTAGTGCCCCAAATCCTGCCCAGCCCACTCTGCTGCAGGGGCAATGACCCACTGGTGGTCTTGGCTCGGGAGCGACGGGTCCTCTGCTCCATGCTTTTCTTGATGCAGGTCTGAATGTCACCAAGGAGTTCACAGCTCTCTACAGGGGACTGTAGACAGGACAAATGGGAGGAGCTGACACGAGGCCTTTAGCAGTCACCTATCTTCCTATCCTGACCAGTCACCCTCACCATCCAGAATGGAAGACCCTAGAGCATTCCAAGAGCCTTCATAACCTTACCACACCTCAGATAGTCATAGTCACAGGACCGCTGGGAACATGGAGACTAACTTCCCCATTAGCACCCAGATGAGATACCAGCAGCCCCAGTCTTATGGTGAACAATTCTGGATCAGTACTTCCCAATTCTAGATTACCAACCACCCTTGCCGCCCGCCCAATGCAACACCTTCATATACTGGGGTATCCTTAAGTGTAATGAGTGTTTTTCCTCCGGTTATAATTCCAGGCAGGACTGGGTTGGCTTAGGAAACCCAATTTAACTCTTTAGAGCCTTCCTGACCACCCAGGCAGCCCTTAAGCCTCAGCAGGGAACCCATTGGGCCCCAGAACCCCATCCATAAACCCTGGCTTCCAGACAGTTTACCTTGAAAAGGTGGATGCCCACCAGGAGCAGCAGGTGCTGGAAGGCATTGGCCTTGGCCTCTGAGGAACGGGCTTCTAGTTCCTTCAGGGTGTCCAGCATCCTGAGGGGAGATGGCATGTTTAGATGCCACAACTGCCATCAGACCTAGAGGTCCTGCCCGTCCCGGGAACCCCATGTTCTCACTGGGTCCAGGCCTGGCGCTGCTGTGCTGTGAAGGGCGTCAGGATGGCCACGTTGCGAGTATGGCTCAACAGGAAATCTGCCAATCGCACTAGGCGGTAGGTCCAGGGCTTCTCATCTTCGGTCTGGTCAGGCCCTGGCCGGAATTTCACACTGAGGGTCTGCAGCAGGCTAGGGGAGGGGATGGAGCCATAAGACGGCACTAGTGAATATGGACGGGTCTTTCTTTCCCAAGTCTTAGATCCACTGAACCCACTGCCTCTTGCCCTTGCTCAAAACAGGAAGAGCAAGGGTCCTCCCGGCCACCTTCCCACCCCCAACATCCTTGAACTGCCCAAAGCCCACCTGAAGAAGGCATTAACGATGAACTCTCGGGCCCGGGTGTCCAAAGGGTAGGAAAACTGATGCTTGGTTTCTGGGATCTGGCTTGTGGGCTTCTTTGTTTTAAAGAATGAGTGGAACAAGCAAAACCTAGAGAGAACACCCAAGCATTCACTTTACTAGGCTGTTCTCCAGGGGGTAGAAGTGTAGGGGGCAGGCCATAGGCAACAGGGGATGGCAGAGACATGGAACCCTAGCTGTACACAGCTCGATTTGGGTTGGAAGTGAGAACCAGAGCGTCTCTCTTGGAGCCAGCTGAGGAACCAGATAGATGAGGCGCTGTGGTCAGGGCCAGCAAGTACTGAGCGGGCTGTGTCTGGCACAGACAAAAGATGTTTTGGACAAATGGCTCCTCCATCACCCCTGATGTACAAAAGCTTGCTTGGATTTATGGAGCAAGTCTAGGCCTTTTAGGCTCCTGCATCTCCACTCTCTGGATTCCTTCGTTTCACTTACTCCTGAAAAATTTCCTTGGTGACTCGGCTGAAGGTTTATGGCTCCAGGGGACCCAAAACTAGGACTAGACCAGGGGCCCAATTCCTTGGCCATGGTACCCACAAGGTAGGGCTTGAGCCCCTCTCACACCTGGCCACCTGCTCGACGACAGCCACCTCCTTTTCCAGGGGCAATTGATCCACAATACTGACTAGGCGATGGATGATCCACTTCCGCAGTCGGAACACAGCTCGCTCAGGCCTGGGGGCAAAAGCCAAGGTCACAGGACATTCAGAGATGGCAAAAACATGGTGTTCCTTGCCCCCATTTTGACAGGAAACTCCCAAGATCTCTCGTGTTGAACACTAGTATGTGAAGCTCCTAGATCTTAGCCCAGAAAGTCAACCCCTGAACCTGCCCACTCACACGTTGAATGAAGCGTCCTGGACTTTCTTCTGGTTGGTGGTGCTAAAATCAACCAGAGAGTCCAGGTCTGGCTGGAGAAACATGTCCTGTAGCCAGGACACATAGCTCTGCAGGGCTTGGGGGTTCAGGAACCGTGTGACACGCCAGATGGTAGGCATGACAGGGAGACCCTGGTTAGTGATGGACGAGAAGGCCACCAGCACAGACAATTGCCGCTCAGGGTTGTCCTGGCATCCCTCCAGGAAGGTGGACACATAGGCACTCATCACCGGGGCAAACCTGAACAGGTTTTGGGACTGCAAGAATTGGACATAAACGGAAGTCACCCCAGAGGTAACAACAGCCCACCAGCCTCCTCCACTTCAGGCTAAAGCCAGGCCTGGAAGTGCTTCTCCCCATACACAGCCGTGCTGAGACCAAACTGACAATAAGTCTGTTACCCCCAACTCCTGCCTGATGTTAAGGCGTCCCCTGTCTGACCTCTCCAAGTTTCCAGACCTGCAGCCCCAGGTCCCTCCCAGCTTCCCTGCATGGAGACAAAGCTGCTTTCCTGGCTTGATGAAGCACAAAGTGGTGGTTAAGAATCCAGACTTTCCTGGGTTCAAATCCTGCCAGGCCAGTTTATAGCTGTCATCCTGGGACTCAAACTCAGTTCCCACATGTTTTTGTCAGTTTTCCTGACAAGCCTGGACACTGAGCCCCTGTGCTTTCACTGGCTCATGAATGACATGAGCTGCTGACAGCAGCAAACCTGGCAGTGTTCTCCAGGTACTAGCATGTTAGTACTCAAAACAGAGGGCTCCAGCCTATTCACCTCAGCAGGTCCTTGTCATACTCCCTTCAGAGAGCAGTTTACTGTACCTAGAAGGAAGGGACACTCACATCCCAAGTCATGCACCCTTCTTGGCAAAAAACCTGCTGTCTGGCACCAACCTTGGCAATGACCATGTGCTCCCCCAAATGGCGGATCAGGTCTCCTCGCATCACCAGGTGCAGCTGCTCCTTGGATAGCAGGGGCAGGGCTGCTCCCAGCAGACGGAAACACAGGTAACTAAAGAGGTAGGAAATAGAGATCATGGCCTCCCCTCCCTAGGGTGGGCCACAGGACATGGGAGGGAGGGGTGGGTAGGGGGTAATACACATACCTGGCTGGCCAGGATGGCTTCTTCAGCAGCCCTTGCTCTACTACCTCATTCCAGAATAGTGGAAACTTGTCTTCCTTAAGCGCCAGGCGGAGCAGGTCCAGAGCCACATCAGGTAACTTGTGCTCTTTCTTCACAGAGGTGGCCGCCATCTTCAGCACAGTCACTAGACTGTGGAGGACAGAGGGACTCAGTGGACACTGCTTAGCAGACAAGGGTACAGGGATAATCCAAATGCAAAGCTCCCCCCTCCCTCCTCCTAGCCCTTGTACCTAGGGATATTCTCCTTTGAGAAGAGGTCAACGGATCCCACGAGCTTCTCGAGGTCTGAGGGCACTTTCTGCTGGGCCAATAGGTACAGCTCCAGGTGCTTTGGGGAACTCAGGACAACTTTCAAGTCGCCCTTGAGGACCTTAGGCAGGATCTCCTGGAACATGGCCTCTGGGACCTAAGGCAGGAAGACAGGTTGAGGGAGAGTGACTCTCTCCAAGCACTCTCAATTTCTCTGCACCATTTCTTAGAAAAAGACCCTCAAGCTCGGTGCTGGTGGCTTGTACCTATAATCCTAGTTACTCAGGAGACTGACATCTGAAGATTGAGGCTCAAACCTGGCAGAAAAACATCTAAGACTCTTATCTCTAAGTGGTCACAAAAAAGCTGGCAGTGACCGTGGCTTAAGTGGTAGAGTACCAAGCTTTAAGCAGAAAAAATAGTTCTCAGACCAAATTCAAACCCTAGTATCGGCATGTACGCACACGTTCGCGTGCACACACACACACAGACCCTTCAAATTCCCAACAAGCACATATTAATGCTAATTGGCCTGGTACCTGTCTTGTTTTTTTGAGGTCCAGTTCAGTTATTATGCAAGAACTGGATGTAGAGCTGGAATGCGAATTCTGGCTTTGAAGCCAAGAGGGTGCAGAAAGCCCCAGACAAGGGCATGATAGCCCATCTTTTCCTTCAGCAGCAAGCAATTCTAGGTACAAACACACCTCAGTTTCCCCAGTTGGGAAATAGGGAAACCCAGGAGGGGCCACCAGCCTTGACTGAAATATTAAGATGTGAATACACATGCTATATCCCAGGCACTATCCTAGATGTGTGCTATTCAACATGGAAGCCACTATAGCCACATAGGGCTATCGAGCACTTGAATCTAACCTGAATGAGCTGTGCTATAACCATAAAATATATTAGATCTCAGAGTTGTAATGACAAAAAGAATGTAGAAGTTCTTTCCAATTATTTATAGGTTGTATGCTTAAATCAAAGTATTGAATTAATTTATATTTTTGTGCTGGCACTGGGCTTAAACTCCAGTGCCTCATACTCTTTTGTTGGCTTTTTCTCAAGGCTAGAGCTCTTAACCAGGAGTCATACACCTTCACTTCAGGCTAACCACCCCCCCCCATTTAATTGGAGATTAGAATGGAATAAGCTCTTCTGCCCAGGTGGGCTCTGAACCATAATCCTCAAAAATCTCAGCCTCTTGAGTAGTTAGGATTATAGGCGTGGACTACCAGCAAGCAGCTGGTATTTTAAATGTAACAACATTAAGAAAACTATGTTACCAATGTATCTGTTCCCTTTTGCCTTTTCAATGTAGTTATTTCAAGCTTTCTATTTCAATAGGACAATGGTGCCCTAACATACTGCTGTAATACGAAGTATAAGCTGCAGTCTACAGTAGCCATACCTCAGACAGGATGTCCACCAGGGCCTTCATGGGCTGTCCCTGTAAGTGGTTGTAGTGCTGGGCCAGGGCTTGGAGAAGCTTCACTGACTTCATCAGGGCCTCTGGGTCCTAGTACCACCAGAAGACAAAGGGAAGAGCAAGGAATACCACTCTGCCACCCCCTACCCCTCCCAAGCCAGCCCACACCCCCCCAAAGCTCCTACCTTCACCAGCCGACCAGACTGAAAGAGGGCTAGCACCCCAAACAGGTTTGCAAAGAGAACAGGTCTCATGGTTGCCTAGAAAAGGATTCCAGGCACAGGTGAGAAGGGCTCAGGCTCCCACCCCCCACCCCCATGGCTGGTCTCCCCAAGGTCACCCTCACCTTGTTCATCTTTTGCAACTCATACTTTTCTTGTATCTGTTTCAGGATGCTGCACAAGGGGATGTCCTCAAAAGACTGTAACAACTGCCATGAAAAGGAGGGAGAAGAGAGGTTCAAGGGAAAGGCTCAGCTACACACTACCAGATCTCAGCTTTCTTTTTTGCGTTCAACTTTTCTTCTCAGATCTCAGGAAGTCCTGGATCTCTGCTCCTGCCCCAAGTCTGCCTATAAAAATGCTCATCCCCCACCCCCTCTGCAGTGCTAAGGATGGCATGGATCCAAATCTTGTCTCTCTACTCCATCCCCACCAGGGCTTCAGAAGGTACTTCCTGTGTCCCCTAAACTGCTTCCCTGGGACTCCTGGAAAACCTGCTCTTCCCCTCAGAGCCTGAGCTCCCTTTAGGCTGATTGTGAAGGACTTCTCACTAGAGAAAACACATTTCAGCTTCTACGTATTGGTTTGGTTAAACTGTAAGTTGTATGGGGGAAGTGTCAAGGGAGTGAAGGGGCACACAAATGGAGAAGGGTGGGCAAAGGCAGTCATAATAGTTAATGTATGCATGTGAAAATGAAACCATGTAACTTGTGGGGTTGGAAGAGATGAGGTAGGATGATGAAGAGGGTGACAATAATGAAGATGCTCCTTGTGTAACTCCTTAAAGACAAACATAAATAAAAGGACTGAGTAGTAAATGCTTTGTGTTGTACAGGTTCTTTGGAGTGGTCTATAATTAGTTTCTTAGGGAGGAGAAGCTTCTATTTTCAGTAACTGCAGGGAAGAGGCCTGTCAACTCTTGTATCAGAAAACTTGCTCAAATCCTCAAATTTCCATTCCACTCGCGTGGATTTCTCAGTCGATAGGTTTTGCTCGGGTACTTTCCCACACTTTTTCCGTGTGAAGATGACTTGTACCTTAGACACCAATCCGGACTGTTCCTTAGTTACTGCCCGCCCCCCCCACCCCGGGCCCAGAAGTCCAGCAGCACCGCCTCACCTGTGCCAGAGCCAAGCTGTAGCAGGGCCGCGCGGCCTCTCGCCCCACGCCAAGCCCAGTGATCAGGCGCTTCAGGGCATATTTCATCTCCGACCCCTGCGGAACCAAAAGCATCCCTTGATCCGAACGGTGACTGGGAGACCGCTCTCACCTCCTTAGTGTCCAGTCCCGATCACGAGTGGGGTTCCCAGTCCAGAGACCCGCGGTGGCTCCCCGGCCGGGGTCTCCGCGGCCCCGGGCCCCCTCCCATGCCCAGGACCCCCACGCGGCGCCCGGCCCCGGGCCCTCGCGCGGCGCCCTACCTGCGGCCTCGTGCGCAGATACTCCAGCAGCTTCTCCGTAGCCTCGAGCCGCGTTTCCTGCTGCGGCTTGGCGATGTCCCAGAAGAAATCCAAGAACTCGCGGCTGTGCTCCAGCAGGCCATGGCGATCGGCATTTGTCGCCTCTCCCGGAGCCCCGGGCTCGGCGCTCGGTGAGCTCTTCTTGTCCGCCATGCTGCGCGAAACACGTGGGCTGGGTGAGGGCCGCTTCCAGGTCAGGTCCCGGCGCCTGCGCACTGCGTCCGCCGGGTGGGGGCGGGGCGGGAAGAGGCGGGGCCTGGAAGAGGCGGGGCCGGGG